CTGTTAAACTGTTGTAATAACAATGGAATAATAAAATAATTTACTCAGATGTACATAATAATACATATACATATCCATAAAAACAATATTAAACGCAATAACTTTTTTGTACACGAAGAAAAACTAATATAGGTCCGTCGGGATTAGAATCCAAGACTTCTTTCTAATACGTCTACTTTATAGCGAACGGACGGAAGAGAATCCGTTCACGATCATGGTCCCTCCTTAGATTTAACGTAGTTCACAAATTCACCGTTCTCATAACGTAGAGGGCAGCAGAAAATCCCTGACGTTTTACACTATCGGTATTTCAGAACATGAGACACGAAGTCCCATAAGATGATAGGTCTATCCTATACCTAATCGGTGGTAGTGACCATAGATAATCATACATATATACAGTGGCCGCTCTTTAATCGGACTCTTTCTTATTGCACATTGGCAACGCCCATCACTCACACGTATTTCCCACCACGTGCGCGTACCCCATTCTGTCACCAGGATGGAATACATACGGTGTCGTGTTTAACTCGGATATTTCATCACAGAATGTGTGGTGTATAGAATATTGTTTTCATAAAATGTTTCAATGTTTTTACATAGATATTTTTAATCATAATCGACTACACTTCGTATCATGTCTAGGGTGTGATAATACATAACTTATTAAAATAGTACAAAGTAAAAATGAACCAATAATACTGTTTTAAATGATTATTCCTATAAATATTACATATATGAAATATTTAAAAAATTCAACCTGTCTATAATTCTACAACTATTTCAGCTTGAGAAACAATTAATTTTTTAAGTGTATTGTCTTCAATTCCTTATTTAAAATATTTTACTGCTGACACACTGTTGAACATATGTATAAAATTGTTGATAAATATTTTATTCTTTGTCTAGTGGTCTCTAGTTCAAAACATTAACAGATGGTTCTCAATGATAAAGTCATAGAACAATAAGACTGAATATCTCAAAAATATTATGAAAATTGAATAATGAGTACATCAAAATGATTGCTTATGAGTCCGAAGTAAAATATTATACCTAACAAACTTAATGTAATGAAGTTAAAACATTAATTGTCTATTAGACTGAAATACATAGATGTACGATTAGATAAATAAGATAATTAAGCATATTTAGTTGTTAATCATTTTGTACGTCACAATTTTTTCCATATCATTCATTACATTGTTTTCAATCTAGAAGGATAAATGAAACTACTGTTCAATCATATGTGCATTCAAAGGAGTGGTTCAGTAACTTGGATTATTATGTATGTATATCACAATATAATTCATATTATTGATTACATTGTTTTCAGTAAAGAAGAATAAATAAAACTTCTGTTCAATCATACGTGCATTAACAAAAATAGTTCAGCAACGTTGATCACCTTAATTATCTCCATTATTTCTACTCACCAGGATAGACTCCACGTGTAGTATCTAATTTCCTAATATACCCACTTTTAAGAGAAGACTCCTTGATCGGGACGGTTACAAGAACCTTGGCCCTTGGTGGTACAGTAACAGAAGAAGTTTGTTCGAGTGGAATTTCAACATCTCCAATTTTGAAAATATTAGGTAAGTTCCTGCGAAATTTAACAGTTACATTCTGTGCTTCCAGAAATGGTATACCTAATATTCCAGTTTGCTTTATAGGAAAACTGTGGCACGACTGACGAAGAGTGTAGGGATAAATGGAATGAGTGAGAGTTGGTATGACTGAGTGCGTGAAGTCGGGCAAGAAGAACGAGATCTTTTGTTAGTCGACTGAGGTGACCACGTGCGAAGAGTGAGAGAAACAAGTTTGAATAAAGCGCAATAAAGGGGCTCGCATAACATGTGTTTTCATTAATAGAACCCGAGTCCTGGTCCGCTACAAAACTATCACTTATAATCTGGAATTTATTATCTACATCTTGGATACGAATGATAACCTCTCCCTGAGTTGACACGGATCCAATTTCAATTCCACTGAGATCACAAAAGATACTATTATCTATAAGAATATGCTCTGAAATTCCTTCCCTTTTAATAAGATTCACTTGAGAAACAGAATCCACAAGGAAAGTAGCAGATCCATTGCAGAAAATTTGATGAGGTAATGTCAATGTGGGTAGTCGGCCAATTCTTTCTGTATTTAATTTAAGACAGACTGATGAGATTTGGCGTGGACAATTTGGGGCTCGGATCGCATCACGCCGTTTTGCGATCTGGCTTTGAAGTTTAAAGGGTTTCCCTTTTGATTTTGTGAGAGCTTTTGATAGGAATAACTCCTATTAATTTTTCAAAAACATTGAGTTTCACTATGTCCTAACTTTTTACAAAATATGTAACGAAATATCCTTGAATAAAGAGATTTTTCACTATTCTTTGGGCAATTTCTTTTAAAACGACCGGGTTCCTTGCAACGGAAACAAGTTGTCCCATGTAATATACACTCTACTTCTATTTAGAGAATTTCGTAAAAATTGATTTCTATGGCCTTTACTCATTTCTCTGTCTAATTCAT